ATAAGCTGACCAGATAAACGTGACAATTTTCCATCCACCTCTTCGTTTTCTTGATGATGCAAACATGATCAAGAAGGCTTGCAGTGAGAGACTGATAATAATGAGTCCTCGAAGATTCCATCTATCCCATAGCTTCCTGATGCTGTCTGGAGGGGAGAGAAGCATTTTTTTGGACTCTTCTCTTCTCTGCAAATTTTCACTTCTTGCAAAACTTAATTTTCTGTAAAGTAATGCCAATGGCAAAAATATCAAATTAGACCCTGCACTTAGGAATCGGCGGCATATCAGCCCCCCAACTCATTTTAGTGGCAAACAAATCCTAAACTCATCAACCACAACAAACGGCCAGTCAGCATTTTTTTTCTTTTTCTTTTTCTTTTTTAACATATGACATCCACTCGACTCAAAAAGAAATACATCAAGATTCACAGTTTGTTTGAATAAAAATTAGTAAAGGAAAGGAAAGACGGGAAGGGAAGAGAAGCGAGGAGAAGTTCAAAGGAAAAAAAAATATTAATCTTATTTAGATACATGAAAATAGAGGAGAGGAATGGAAAATAATTTTATTTAATTAAATAATTTTTAAAAATAAAATAAAATAAAATATTTAAAATTTATTAATTAAAATAAAATATTTTCATATATTTATTTTTAAAAAATATTAAATATATAAATCAAATCCTTCTCAAAATCCCTCAATTTAAACTTTATCACCCTCTCTTCCTCCCTGTCCATTAATTAACGAAGAAAAACAAACAGCAATAAAGAAACATAATAAAGGAGATATCTACCCTCACTCTCCCCCACTCCCTCCTCCAAATCCTCCAATCCAAACAGGGGCTTAGTCCCAAGTCTTTCTAATTCTCAAGTAACCGAGAACTAAAATATACTTGATCACGTTTCAATTTCACATTCTTTATCCATGAACATGAAAACCCAAGATTCACAAACTATAATTTCTGCACAATTTTCAGTATTTTTCAAGCAACCACACAACCGACCAACCAAGTAATATCAGATGAATAAAAAATAGATCTATTTACACTATATAAAACCAAGAAAAACAACACACGAATCAAAAACACAAAAAGAAGTAAAACGAATGAGAACCACAATTTCAAATTTGAACTCAC